AGACTTTTAATCGTTGGTACAAACATAAGTTTATGTACACTTAAGAAATGATTTAATGGAAACCTATATTCATCTACACGTCGTGTGTTTTTCAATGCTACAACGTAATTTATAATCTTTAATTTAATGTGCATACACAAACGTACACGGTTCTATTTTAATTTCAAATTTAACTAGCATATAATCTATATGGTGTTCAAGTTCAATGTTATTATTAAAATAAGAAAATACTATCGGACAAGGACGTATCTAGAAATTTTTTTCGGGATGGGTTCACAACATGTATATTGTAATTTTATTGAATTTAGATTTTAACTTTTGATATTTGGTTAAAAATAAAACAGAAAAAGATTTAATCTTTTTTTATTAAAATTAATATCATATTTTCATATGATTTTATGATATAAAATTAAAAGCAGCCAATGATAAATTGGAGCTTAAATCATTTTTGACTGAAAATATTTATGTTGGTATCAAAAATAAATAAGTATTTTAAACATTCATAAAATATTGAAGAAATATCGGGAGGGGGGTCCAGGGTGTCTCTCCCCCAGATACGGCCTTGCTATCGGAACACGAAGTATAACTTTCCAACTTCTTAGATTAAGAATATTTTCAAATAGATAAATTAAAATATACGAATATATTATGCGTCACGTAACATGATACGTACAAGTATAATTAAAGCGATTTAAAAATACACTTAAATTCCATTACATTTTATCTATTCTCGTTTAATTGTTTATTTTAATTAATATATAGGTATTAATAGTATTACTATTTAGTATTTACTATAATATATCGGTAGGTACATGAGTTAATCACAACCAATGTTATCGATTTAATCTTTGTCTGAGTAATTTGTTTGAAACCGATATTTGAAAATAATAAAATTCAAAATTCTAAATTAAAACGTTTTTAAAAAGTGCATTGGTAAAGAGTGAAGACTAAAGAGTAGGTAAATACGTAATGTAAAACACTATTTCAGATTTCTATAAAGTCATGTTATCATTACACTTAACTATAATAGCCAATAGGATAATGAGTAGGTATAATAAATTATAAGACAAAATTAATTCCTAATCAACTGCTAAAATCAATAGATAATAATATAATCATATTATAATAATTGAAGCGGCAACCATGTTATAGATTACACTATGATCCATGACAGTTGTCGTGAAAGATAATAGAATTTTACTGTTACTACTGCAATGTGTATGTGCCATGTGAACTGTAATTAATTATTGCCCTATGCTATTAATATATTTTATTTGTCAACAATTGCCTATTAGTTATCAGAATTATTAACTTTTTGATAACAGATATATTTTTTTTTCGTAATAAATTATAATAGTATAATACTTTAGTTTATTTTCGTTTTCGTTTTTGATTTCGTCATAATATTTTTTTTGTTTTCATTTTATTAATTGATTTCGTTATTATATTTTTTTTCGTTTTCGTTTTTTTTTAATTATTTTCGGTTAATAACGTTTTTTAAAAACGTTTTTCAACCCTGGTATTTACACAATATTTGGTATAGCAATCATTGTGAGTGTTTTCATCTTTAAATAATAATAACTACTCAACATTTAATTGATTATTTACTGATAATTTAAGAAAAATATACAAATCCTTGCGTTTAGATAATTTTTGCTAACTGGTATTACAGTGAAACTTTTACTCTACGATACTTTCCATGCTAATCATGATCTAATCAAATATTACGAGCACCTATTATACATTTTGAAAATTCTATAGGAAACATTTTTGTACATTATACTAACTGCAGATGGATAATTTTAAATCCACATTCCAGTCTTAAAACAGTTTAATTTCAATTCCGTGTGACAATTATAAGTCATTATAAATAAAGTGTCTAATTTTCTATTATCTACTTTTTATGAAACTCAAATGAACAAATATTAGTTTATATAATATTAAACGTAAGAGATTTAATTATAACAGTCAACAACCGTTTTAAAATAATCTTTAAAATAATATTTTATAATAAAGTACTTATTGACAATATTATTAAAAATGGTAATATATGCGTAATGCATTTCTGTACTTAAATTATATTTGACTGTTAATTATTTTATTCTATATATTATTATACATCTGCAGAGGTAAAATTCAGCAAAAATCCGAAAAAGAAGTACAAACGCAATTAAAAATCACGTTTTACCATTCAAAGTTATATGACATAAATAAATTATTAGCCATATTAATTTTTCCCGAAGACATATATTTCTGATTATAGGGGCGTTCATACATATCCTTGCTTTCAATATTATTTATATACAAATAAATTATTGTACTCGAGTACAATACATATTATTCGGTGCTTTAAATTATTATAAAAATAAAAAACAATGAACTTTTGATTCAACAATCGGCTATGGTTATACACTTGAAATTTTTAGAATAATAATTAGGATCAGAATATATTTGTTTAAAAAAGTAAAATTTTAACTATCTACTTATTTCAATGGTGGGAAAAATAGAAACAATTTGTGTAGCAATGACTTTTCAAATTAAATAAAAACAATATTTTTAAAAACACATAAATTCAAAAATCTACCCTGTGTTTACTGAGTTAATGGCTTACTCATAAAAAATTAACAGACAATGTTTATTATATTTTATAAAAAATACACCTTTCTACAACAAAAACCTGTTCATTTTTGTAAACTTTTTAAAATATGTTTACTATTGGGTCTGTAGAAGTAATATTTATGAGTAATCTTATTATTTTTACTCGAGCACAGATTCCAAATTCCAGTTCTAAACGCTGTAGGTTGGCATGTTTATAAGCATTATTCAATAAAAATATAACACTTATAAATGCAAACGTACACTATAATATAACGAATATAATTACTAGACTGGAGTTCATGGAGACAGCAATAATCATGCGTCCAGTCCAATAAAATATTAATGTAGCCCGATTCATCATTTTTATAAATACTCTATAGCTAATCATAATATAATATTATTATTTATAGCAAGCCGCAACAGTAGCAAAATTGAGTCGATAAAACATGTTTTTATATTTTATTGCTTATAGCTCGTAGAATCTTATCGTAGGTAATCATGTTTATTTTCAAAACAAGTTGATGTACAAAATTTTATGTATAATTTATTAGACTTTGGATATCTATACAATTATAACTGAAAATGTGATAATAGTTTTTGTTTTGTTATTATAAATAGTTTAGAGAATAATTGAGACACGTGAGAAAATAAACTTCACGCAAAACACACACAGGAATTAATAAAAATTAACACACGTTTTTTAAATACATTTCGTAACTAAAATCACTGCACTACGCTCTAATGTTTGACGAGACGAGATTTAAATGTATTAAAATTATGAATTTTAGTTCATGTTTATTTCGATTTATTGCAGTATATGTTGCTGACTGCCCGAGTAGAATTTTTCGTACAAACCGTTACCGTTCCGCATTGTTTAATACGATAACGGATATAATCTCTGCAGTCAAAATTAATTCACTAAAAGGTGCGGTGTATGCATATATACGTTTTATGAGATCAAATGTACCTGTTTTAATACGCCGTTGATATTTGTAAATAGTCAACGACGGCGAGCGGTATAACTAATAAGCTAATTCCACGATTGATACTCGATCAACCGCAGTGTAAGGTCGGCAATTTTTTTTTTAAATTAAATGATCATTCAACGGGTGACAAATTACATTGCCTGTAAAACAGCAGAGAATGATTGCACAAAATCGCTGGAGACCGAAATCGCGAAATCGGAGTAAACGAAGATTTCAACGTTCAATTGCATGAGTATTGTGTTGCCTATCCCATTCGATAACGGAGGAGCGATAAATAAAACAGTAATTCAATGATGAAATAAAACAATAAAACCTATTGTATATTTGTTTTATACAATAGGTAGCGCTGCAAGATATCATAATGATTTCAATAGTTTAGTTAAATACATTTTTTACGGTACTTATATCCCAGCCGTTCTTACTGCCCCAACAATATTACCGTCTGTAGATCACCTCTCCCGAGTAATTACTAAAAATATGCCTCCGACTAAACCAGTATCGTATATAACCATCGGTAACGTTTATAAACGCTCTGATGTACTACGTGTTAAATATTATGGATTTTAGTTGCTTAAATAATTAATTCTATATATGTAAGGAACTATTTGGATGGAATAATTTATAACTTCATTATGACGTATTATTCTGTAAAGTTTATTGTTCAATTTATATGGGTACCTGTTTTGTATTGAATATATATATATATTTATATGTATATAAAGACTGCGTGTTGTCGTCATTGGATAAAGATTTTTTATGGGAATAATAATATCAAAAAAAAAAAACTAATTACATTTATTATAGCGATTATAAAATAAAAATGTATTTCCATAAATAACATACAATCTCACTCTTGTGTTAAAAAAAACTTAGCCGGGCACGAAATCTGTTAGCCAGATTATACTGTAATTTCAAAAACATTTCTAAAACCGTGCCAATTTCTGTAGGATAAATTTTAATAATCACTCTGGTAGCGTTTTATTGGGGACTTAAACGACGTCGTAAAGACATTAAAACAAGTGCGAATAAGCGTCAAACGAGTACAGCGTTTTTTCGTCTTGCTTAAGGTGGAATCGAGTGAATAGTGTTCTCCGCAAAGCCAACGCAAAACCATTTACATCCAGCTGACGTACCTTACTAACATTTATCATTAGGGTTTCGGTAAATACAAATGGATAAATCGAGCCGAGCTAATTCAATGGAACAAATTCAAATCCGCGTTGTTGTCGCGGTAATATTTCTCTGGCGGCACACAACAAATCACGAGCAAGGCGTAATAAGGTGTATTACGGCCGTGCGCTACGTATATTATGTTTTCGTAAAACGCCCACTTGGATAGTTTTTAAGTAGGCACCTGCAAATATGGGTAAATAGAGGTATACGTATACCGTGCACACGTAATACAACACGAACGATCTAGTTTCGCCGTTCCTTTCACTTTTAATTGAGTGTTTGAGTCGCAGTCGTCGTGCAGAAGTTATGAATGAGTGTTTGACCAGCGCTTTGCAAGAATATCATTGCCGTCGGTTTTCCGCAGGTGTTCCGATTCGTTTTTTCTCGCCGTCCTTTCGTCCGCTGAGCACAACAATGAAAACCGCAATAACGTTATTGTCTTTCTTCTTCTTCTTGGCCATGGTGCTCGGGTCGACCGAATCCTCGATGTACATGAAACACGGCCAACACCTGGAACCCGGTACACATTCATATTGAACGCGTTCGTTGCGAGTACTGATGTTTTAACCGCGGCGTCTTGTTAGTTTTAGAACCGGTATCGTCCACGGTCGAATCCATCCCTATATACAAGCTGTCACGTGGTTTCGAAATTGGTTCGGTCAAGGAACGCGTCGACAAGAGCACATTGCTGACCGGTAAGTCGGATAGTTATCCCGTTTCGTAGCGTCGATGTTATCGTATAATGCTTTGTTGTATTAATGTTCAGCGAAAAACATCAACAAGCTAAAAGAAGACGAAGCACATAAAGAAGAAAACGCTAAAGTAAAATCGTTAATCAGTTAGTTCTAACTTCACTCTACGATGAAGATTATCTATTGTTATGATTTTTGTTAATTTTCTTTTTTTTTAAGTTGAACATATTTTTTATGCTCGGTTTTACGAATGTTATTGATATGATAACAACAATTATTTTAAATAATACTACATGTAATATTACAAAAGCCAAATACTAATTTAAGATTTTAACTCACTATCGGAAACAGAAAATTATTTCCGACGACTTAAAATAAATCTCTAATTTATGCATCGTTCCCTAATATGATTGTCTAAAACCGTTAATTTTATGTAAATATAATTAAGTAGTGTTATACTGTTGAACAATTATCACAATTATCTCATTTTTGATTTTGTAAATTAGTTCAATCGTCATAATATATTAACTATACGTTAAATCGATTTTTAATATTCAAATTGATTCATTCTACTCGACTTGAGTCCTGAAATCAAATATACATTTATATTTCCGCATGTACACGTATATTTTTAAAAGTTTACTATTTACACGAGATGGCTATTTAAAATAGTATTTTTAGCACTGTTTTTTTTTTTTTGCAAATTATAATTGTATGTGAAATATGTTATGAGCAATAAACTACGGGTGTTAATTATTTAATTTGTAACAACAACCCGTGATTTATTTTAAAAAACAATAATTTATGCATTCGAATGCACTATGCAATAACAAATTTTATGAACGCATAATTTAATGAAATACATTTCAAAACTATATTGTTATTCGTATACTTAAAAAGGTTTTGTTTATTTAATAATTTGTTATAAACATATATGCTAAAGTTCAATGTCTTAAATCCTTTGTTGAACAATATTGATTATATTACTTATTCTGCAGATCACAATAAACACCATTTACCTAAGCAATTGATATACGAGTTGTAGATTTGTTGATATTTTAGTAGCCACCTTTGTATTATTTGATTTCATAAAAAAATAAATGTATTGATTTGCGAGAGATTTTGAATAGTTTTGCTATTTCGATATTAGATACACTTAACAAGTTAAAATTCACTTTTGCTCTTATTTATTTGTAAACGATTGTTTAGGCGTCGAGCAACAAATGCCAAAAATATCGGTATGTAGCCACTGATTTTTTAATACAGGGTAATTTTAAGTATTCGTATTAATAATATATTTTTAGACTACGTAAACTAATATTTATAAAAACTCACTGCTCCTTTTAAAATTAAAGATAATAATTTCTATTAATATATATATCATATTTCTTTTACATTTGCTATTTATTTGATGATTTAACACTGAGTCATAATATTTATACATATATACATATATATATTCACATGTCACATTATATTTCACCCGCAATATGTGACAGTTGTTGGATTTGAATTAAACTGATAATTTACACTAAGCTGACTGTTGAGTAATCGCCGTTTCTAAATATTATTTAAAGAATATTTTAGGCATTGTAATGTGTTCGTTTTGCAACACTGATATTATATTTAAACGTTTTTTTTTTTTTTTTAGGTTAAAATATTGCGTGTAATATCTAAAATCTTATTTTTACAAAATTAAACTCATAACCAATGTAAATAATAATATTTTACTTATATTACTGATGTATAATTTGTACTGGAATAATGATGATTTTATTTCAGTATTATGCTGTTTTGAAACTTTCCCAAAAAAAAAAGAGAAACAAGCGCATTCACACACATAAACACCAAATTACATAATAATATATTCAAGATGAATATACTGTATTTAACGTGCGAAATCTAAATTGAGGAGTATATTAATTGTTTAGTTACGACAATGGGGTATGGTTATTCAATAAGACCTTTTAAATGTGACTATTTGACATAATACATTAATATAGCGTGACTAGATAAATATTGTAATATATTTGTGAATTATGATAGGGATCGAGTAACAAATTGTTAGTGGTAAATTAATGGGATCAAGTCATCAAGGTTAATAATATACGAGTACATAAGACAAAAAATTGAATAAAAGATTAGAACAGTTACAATTATATTATATTTATTCTCAAAACATTAAACTATGGCGCCAGATTTCCAGTGATGTGTATGACGTACGGAAGTCTGAAGAAAAAAAAATATAAAGAAAAGAAGAATCGTAATATAGTAGGTAGTCAAGTAAGTAGGTGTGTATCAGAGGTTAAACAAATACTTGTTTTCCTCATAGTACGTATTTTATACGACCTAGTGCAAATAATCATGATTCATCTTTTAACTGCGCTTCAGTGTCAACAGACGAGAATATATTATTGTCACAAATAAACTATGAAAAATAAAAATACTCATGATCATTATGGAATTATCAAAATTGTGGACACAGAAAACCAATAAAAAGTAATATTATCGTTCATCATAAAATACGAAGATATGAAATATTAACTGTAAAATATTTACGTATAAGGTACAACAGAGTAAGGTGTTATGATTACTGTCACTCATTTAAGTTATTGTTATTATCACTTTATAATCATGTTAAATTTATTACAATAATCCTTGAAATGTCGAGTTAATATACTTCAAGTATACTATACTTGCATATTATCAACTAAATAAACCATTGTTGTTAATTCATTTTAAAATTGAAAACGGTTCACTGAGCAGTGACGTCGTTAGCGAGCAGGCAACTCAGGCAATTGCCTGGGGTCTCGAACTTAAAACAAATTTAGGAGCCCACAATTTGCCAGGTTAGAATTGTTGGATATATTTAGGTGTAAGGAAATTTTATTGCTTTTGCCTATGGCCTCGTAAAAGCTTACGCTGGCACTGTCACTGAGACTTAATTACTCGAAATATTGTTAGAAACTCATCGAAATAATTATAACGGGCGTTATACAGACATACAGTAATCTCAAATAGAGGGACCTTAACTCATAATGAATGCGTAAAACTTAAATAATTTATTCGATACTATGTCCAATCTATCATTTATATTACAGAAATACAATAAAAATTATTTGACTATGATTTTGACTACAAATAACTGGAATCCAAATATTTTAGACAGGCTTTAATTAATAACAATAGATTATAATTGCTTTGATATTTTATTATAATGATAACGGCATTTTATACAAATTGGTAGGTAATCATGATTTTTTTCCGAATACAGTGAAAATCCACTTGATTTATACATCAAAAACAATACTCGTCCTACTCTAATAATCACAATATGAAGTATATTATAAAGAATACTATTCTTTACGCTGATATTTGTGTCCCTTGGAAAATTTTACTATTTAATTTTTACTAATTCAAGTAATGTATAGGTTAGAATAGTTGAATTAATTTTAATTTACTAACATTAAACTAACATTAATATGCAAAATAGATAATATCTTTCAAAGCAGTTGAATTTTGTGCAGGTGCGTAGCTAGATATTTTAAAAGGGGTTATTCAAAATTTATCGACAAATTTATAAACAACAAAATAATAACTTAACATATACTTTATTGTATAAGCATACAAATACCATAGTATATTTTTCATGAATATCTGTTAATGTGTATTATTTTAATGTATAAGAGTATTTAAATATTTTATTAAAATTTCAAATGCATATCTTGTCTTTTACATATATTTTAAATTGTGTATGAAATGATAAAAAAAATCACAGCTTTAGTTTATTAGATAAAACAATATTAATTATTAATTAAATGTCGTTATTATTTATATGATATCGTATTATAAAATGTATAATATCTTATAACATAAACCAATAGTAAAAATTAAAAAAAAATGTAGACTATGGTAAAAATGTTTAAATTTAATAAAATCGTTTTAAAATAAAATAATTCTTATATATTTTGAAAAGGAAATTCATTATACTTTTAATTATAAACATCACTGTAAAATTTATACTTGAAATATAATATTACATTCTCGTTGCTGTATTAACCAGTCGGGGGAGCAGCTAAATTTGTTATTAGTGGACTAACTCCATATACCCCCTCCTCCGATTATACTTATGTACTTATTGTATATATTTTCTCAATGGAGCTCTATTATATAGATTGCCAGATTTCATAAACATGTACCTATAGTTTTGAATCCGTGGCGTAATCATATTTTTACTTCAATAACAACAAAAATATTTTCAAATGGAAAGTGAATGTTCTCACCAGACCATTAATGTAATAATAAACAATCTGCACTAGCCCATAACAACTATTATATTAAATAATATACATCACCTAAACGTTACAAAACGTAACCCAATAACCTAAAAATTGCCAAAAACAGGATTAACTATAGAATTTCCAGAAAAAAATTCAAAATAATTTATTTGATGAATAAATTTTATTCGATTCTGGTTTATATTTAAGGGCAGAAGTGACATTTCATCAACCAAACCATAGGTGTGCGCAGACATTGCTGGCAGGTGATGCATCGCTTTTTTTTATATTCATCCTTTACCTTTTCAAAAACAGAAAAAAATCAATATTTTTTTTTCTTAGGAGATCTCATTTTATTAATATATTCAAACTTCACGCTTTAACACTTTTCACTTGCGCAATTAGTTTCAGTTACTCGACTCTTGTTTCAAAACAGACGCTTATTGAGAGGACTGCGGAAACCGGAGAGTCTTAATTATATCTTTCATAATAATAAATAATTGGGTTTCTGCTTTTGTAAAAAACAGTATCGGCGTCGATCATTATCGGTGATCGACAGTGGACACGAGTAACATATAATGTCTATAATAATTATAATATATACGCAGAATACTGTTATATTTTTATGTATCGTGTTAAAAGGCATAACTTCTATAATATAATATAAGCGTGGTATAACAATATTATGAGATAATTTTAAGATATTTCAAATCTACCGAAAGCCAACTATTTGTTTTCTATATATTAATCAATCTGCATTTTTTCTTTAGGTTTACTATTTTTTCTGTGAGGCATAGCCCCCTGAAATTAATCCATGGACGCAGACAATTATGTTTCTTTTTCAAAAATTTCTCGGAAAAAAAACCGTTTAGGTATTCATTTTTTGTTCTTTGAAATGTTATGTAAGTTGTAGAATTTGGGTAAATCTGCTGCACCAAAGTACATTTTTTCAAGACATGTATTATTCGTAACTAGTACACAAAGCTTTTTACGATTGAAATTGCAATTAATTTTACCCACCACGGCTGTGTAGTAATTATAATGTAATGGTTTTATTCAAATAGTCATTTTATTATAGTTCAACTTAATAATTAAGTTTTGATATATTTATGTACCGTAGTTATGATCATTACTTCATTAGAAACCAGTAATTTTAATTAATAAAAACAAATTTTGGAAGTGGAAATATATTTCAAGTGTTACTGATTATTTTAATATAATTAACTTTTACCCACAATTTTTTTATTTTTTAATTTATAGATTTCAAAAGAATTTTCTAAATTTAGGTTTTTTTGTATTATAAATATTAAGTTTAATGCAGCGATTTTTCGTTTCCTTAAACCTACAGTGGTCATAACAGGTCACTCGGGTCTCTTACGATTATTTCTATGGAGCATACAATTCGCTCAGAAATTCAATTTTAAGCGATTCTTCCCCGCGGACCGTACCTACTACATGACATTATTTATAATTTATTTTATACCTCTAAGGTATAATTTCCTGAATTGAGTTAACTTGTTAATGTTAATAGGTCAATTCATAATTTTTATCATTATCATTTAAACAAAAAATAAATAAATAAAAATTACCAAAGGATTATATACACTCTATGGTCTCCACTTTCTCGGGTTTACTGAGTTTTGAAGAGTAGACTCGTGTACGGATCACAAATAAACGATATTACTTTATTAAATTGTATGGTTCCGCCAGGACTTGGTTTCACGATGACTGTTGATCGAGGACACTACTAAAAAGAAAGAAAGAGAGAAAGAAAAAAAAGGAGGTGGATGAAACAAATAATAATAATAACTACACAGACAATATTAGAAACGGGTGATAGTATTAAATAAGTACAAACATTGCGGATGCCAGCAGTATGATTGGTGTGCCATT